CCCCAAAACCCCAAAACCCCAAAACCCCTTTATAATATATTTTGACTGAAACTCCAAAATGTCCAATTGCTCTTTTTCTTAGTTTATATTTTAGCGATGACCACATAGAAGGTTCCTCTTATCAATACCTGTCTCTGAAGATTAGCATTGACTTCATGGAGCCGAGCAAGATAAACTTTCCATAACAAAGGATTTACGATTAATCCAGAGACATAACTTTCCTTGTGTTATTTAGGCCCATAAGGCTTATGGTTATAGATCCCTATTTTTCAATCTAATTATTCCTTATCCAAGCATAAAATGTCATCCACAGCACTATGGCTATTTCTCATTAGAATTTTCTATTTAGCGAATATAGTAAAACAGGAGTTCTCTCTAATAATTTTGCATATTTTCATATTTCTCCAAACATGCAAGAGTATTTTTCACCATAAGAACTAGCCTAGGGAAGATTTTTCTTGATGAAAATACTAGCATGCTGGGTCTTTTCCCCTACAGACCTCTAATCTGACAGTTACAAAGTTTGGTCGATAAGTCTCTGAGCTACAAGAAGATTTCTTAATGAATTATTATCATAGCCGATATGAGAATATCGCAATTATCTCTTGTGCTCTTTTAACTCAAATAGAAGGGTCAGGAGACTTTTGGAGTTCCTAGGTTTGATTGATACTGCAGAATCTTAGCTATAGTAACCAGAACAGGATTCTTTTATAATATTGGCAACAATTTCATAGCTAGAGGTCACAGTAAGACACTTTAAGAAATTAGCTGGATATGTTTAAGTTATAGTCTTAAGATTTTCAGAGTGAGAGCTCTTTTACTGATAGAAATTATTATTATCACATTTAGCTTGTCGACAACTTCTCATATTTAAGGGATCTCTCCAATTATTGGAAATTTTTAATTTAGCCTGATGAACAATCCTGTGCTCATAAAATCTGAGGACCCCAAAAGGGGCCAGACTATTCGGAAAGAGAGTCAATTTGGAAGAAAAATCTTCATGAATGCTCCTAATAACTTTGAAAATGTTTTAGCTTCCAAAAAGTGTACATTTGAGTAGGATTTAAAGGCATACTTCATTCGAAGTCTTTTGTATTTTCAAAAATTAATATTAAGAGTCATTATGAGCATATAATCAGAGGAATTTTAGGGATATATCTCATCCAGAGTCTCTAATAAAGCCAAGTTTGTCAAAAATACTCTCCAAGCCTCCAAATAAAAAGTCCATTGATTTACGCTGCCAAGGTCGCCATTAAATCACTGAATAACTTAAATATCTATTTGATGACTTTTAATAGAAAAATGTGCAACAGATTATTAGTCAGGCTAGTAAGCTCAGTTCCCCAAAGGCAGCTTGGCTACTTCACCAGGTACTGGTGTTAATATCCTCACTGATATTTTCCTACTAGTTCTTTGAAAATTACTCGTATGTTATTGAAAGCATCTATCATTCACCAAGAATTGATGACTCTAAACTGGCAGATGAGTTAAAAGACGGTAATAAATGTTTATGATCATAAGTACAAATGCTCGATCTAGATACTCATGACTTTTCCTAATATAACCAACTGTTTATTGCCCATTCTTCTCATCTTCGCTTGATTCTAAGAGTGCTGATGCTATTTCCCTTGCTGATGGATCCATCCTCCTGAGAACTTTCTGAATAATTCTTGTAGCCTTAGCAATACTTAGGATAAAATACTAATCCAAGTGTTGGTTTAAAGTCTCTATTATTGAAGTAAATTGCTATTTGCTTGAATTCTCCTGCCAGGTTAGGGGTTTGGTTATCAGATTTAACTGGAGCCTAGCCTATGGCCTTCTAGAGCAGTCACTGGTTATGGTTCTAATCAGACACTTGTCTGAGGTTGTTATTTTAAGTGACAGCAAGGGTCCTATTTAAATACTCCGGCTGAGGAAAACAAAGCCTCCTAGAGGTGTGCCCAAAGCTGCAAAGGATTGCTTCCTTCATCTAGCTCTCATGAGTCAAGACAAAGAGTTTATCCACCATCTGGAAGGTTTAATGCCAAAAATGAACTTTACTGTATCAAATATTACGTTATTGATTCCTAGCTAGAGCTTCTCTAATTTTTAAATACCTTAATCGGCAAGCCAGAAGAGAACGAAAGCTCTTGCATATCACTTATGACTACTCTTGTTCCATAAAGTGTCCCTGGGACAGACTGGAATGCATGATGAGCAATTATTGATTGAGTTATTTAGAATCAAGAAATGAGTCTAATCACCATTATCAACAATTCATTTTCCAATATCCTCCAGGCTTTGAGCAAGTTATGGGCAAGATGGCATGCAGACATCTACTGGAGAAATAAAGTAGGTTTATAAAAATATTTAGAAAATTCCAAGATGTTTGGATATTAATTCAGACCATCCTCAAAAATTGGAGACTCGAAAGACTCTAATGAATTTGATAAAGATGCAGAACTGGAATAATCTTGTTTTATTTTAAATAAAACTCTGCTCCATGCTGTTTCTCAATTACGAAAGTTCTTGCAAATTAAAAATAGTTGACATCTAATCGTAAAAGGACGTTCGGGAAAAATTTTGTATTAGTGCTATTAATTTCAAAGAGTTCTGAATTATTTACTTTAGCAAGCTAATGCTTCTCAATATGAAAATATTACTACAATTATAGTGAGGCTTATTGATAATAGCTAACCCACAAGAGCAAGACTAGGTACCCTGAAATAAGCTGTCTCATCCCTTCTACCTCTTGGCTCCCTTCATTGGGAATATTCGAGATATCCCAAGCCTGTTAGTGGAAAATGTAGTTATGGTTCAGATTATTATTAACAAGTTATTTATATTTAGAGCAGATGCTCAAAGTTATCTCAACAAGCTTCCCATGATCTTGATCGATGGAATCTTTCGCAGAAGAGCAGGCTTCATCTTGGATAAAGTTAAAGTAGCAGAATTTGAAACTAAGCTAGAGGCATAACCCTGAAGCTTCACTTTTTTCCGCTTAGTTAAATTCAACTCTATTTGATCTCTTTCTTTATCCTTAAACATCTTTGAAGAATCGTCTTCATCAATAACTGCCCCAGATTGACTGGTGTTCAGGCAAAATCATCCAAAGTCTGCCTTCCTGATGCTACCTTTGTTCTCTCTAAGAGTATTTGAGAACTGCTTGGTCATCTTTGGGACTTGAGGCGAGCAATCATCCTCTTCCAAGACCTGTAGCTCATCATCCCAGATACTTTGGAGGGCATCAGATGCTTTAGAACTAATTTGCGAGTTCATAGGTAATATTTTAATATTTATTATTACCTTACATTTCAAACGTTACTTAAGTACTCGGGGTTTTGGGGTTTTGGGGTTTTGGGGTTTTGGGG